TTTCGGTTTAGAAAGTGGTATTATAGGGTAGTATTTTTTGATTGGTTTTTCGTAAGCTATGGCATGTTTTTTTAAGAGTTTGGATGCTTGCTGTTCCGCATCAGGTGATGGGTTTGCACTGTTTGGTGAACGGTGTGGTAACATTTTCAAACTTTCAAGAAAACTGGAGGAATATTTTTGGGTTGCTCATAAACGTGAGCTCTCAGACTTCGCATTAGCAGACAATGTTTTAGCCACTGTTGGCGTAAGTGGTCATGTTTCACCTAGTTACTTTTACGACAATATTTTTTTTGCAGAGGTCTTGGTTTAGATACAGAGAAGTTTTCAAGAATACCTTAAGTTTTGTAGAAGATTTGTTTTGTTGTATATTTATCACTGTGAAATATCTGTGACCACAGGTTAAGAAGAGCAGTGAAGGAGGGTACAGGATTATTTGCTCAGTAATCGTCTTCATTTTTTTGCTAAAATTTGGCTTATCGAAGGTTGTTTAAGAAGTTGTTAAAATTTATTTAGTTTGATGACACTCGGGCGTGTTTACATTGATTAGTTTTTTTAGTCTTTTCTGTACTTTGTGTGCAGATTTCTAGAGCTTGATGCACGTTTTTTATGGTTAATTACCAAATTTGCTTTTCATTTATGCCTTTTAGATTACTGTTTAGGAAGATGAGGATGGAATAAATTCTGTAGTTAAGCTTTGGCAGCTTGACCGCATCGAGAAAGAGGCTCCGTTCTGTTTACGCATTATTCGTGCTTGTCAGCAGCTAAGTACCTCACGGTGCGTTGCTGCATGTGCCGTTGCGATTCACTCGTCATTGAAACATCTGGCTATTGGGTTTGCTGACTGCTCTGTTCTTTACTGCACCGGTGATCTTCTAAAGGACAAGTTCGTTTGCGCAAGTTGCTTAAGACATCTCTTTCTCTCATGAAGTCACTGCGTGGTAGTAAATTAGTGTGAATACAGTTATAGTCACGTAACTGAATCACTTGTTTTTGTGAATTGAGAGTTTCATTTTGTTTTCTTTAGATTTTAAATTTTGTGTCACACCAGTATGATAACAAAGAAAAATCGTTAAGTATATTACTGTCTGTTCAGGTGAATAGTCTGAGCATATCGAGTAAATCTCACTTTCCAAAAATAAAGAAATCATTGATTTAAAACATTTATTTTGAAAGTTTTTGAAATTTTTTTTTTAGTAGTTGAAACATTTCAGAATTGGAGCTGTTGTACAGAACTTTCTATGGATTTTAAGTAAAGTTTTAGCAGTTAGGTCATCCTCAAATTGAGATTTTTTTTTGTTTTTTAGGTTCAATTGGACACACTTTATATGATGTAAATCCTAATTCGCTCTTTAATAGATTTGGAGTTCAAACATATTTTTTATTTCTGCATTTCACATCTTATCAAAACCAGCAGTATCGATTAAAGTAAAGGCTTTGGGAAATAACCATGTGTTGTGCTATATTATTTTATTACAGTAGTGTTTGACAACAAGTAATGTTTTTAAGATCAAATAAATGGATTAGTGTCGTTAATGGCGAAACCAGCGGTACCATGGGTAAACCGACTGGTCTTGCTTTGGCTTGGCTTGCTTCACAAAAAGCTTGTGTACTGTTTGCAATGAGTACTACTAGTGTGAAGTCATACGTGATTGCCAACAAGGCCGTAACTAACGTGGTTTGTTTTGTTAACATTTACATCATCGCTTTATGACAATAATTTGGAAAGAAAATTTTGTTTTGAGAACAAGCTTGTTAGTTATTTCCGAAGTTAAACTACTGGTTAGTCATATAACTAGAACCAATATTTTTGCTTATACATTGTAATAATAATAATAATCATAATTATAAACCATGCATTATGCACTACATAGTTACAGGTTATTCATGATGCGAAAGGCTGCACAAGGGAACTGTGGAGCTTTTCAGAAACAAACAATCAGTTGATCGTTGCTAGTTCTGAAGTTTGGCTTTGCTGCTTCCTCAGTTTTTCATACTCATTATTATAATTTCTTAACTACTCTTTCTGAATAAATCAGTTTGCTAATTTACATCTTTCTGGTTGGTAGTCAAATGCTTTTTTATGGTGGTTGCTACAGGCTATAAGACTCCTTAAAAAGATTTTGTAGTAAAAAATAATTTTTCTATTTTTTCAGGAGACTTAAATATCTTCTTATTAACTTGAAAAAGTTTCAGATGGTTCATTTTTATGATGCTGATCAAAGCTTAATGTCCGACCTCGATGGAGGTAAGGGAAGATGTCACGCTCTTGGTCGGAATGCAGAAAAAGTTCAAGTTATCGCCTTCAAGGATCATATTGCACTATTGACAAAACAAGTACGACCTTCTTCGTCTGTGTATGTTTAATGTTTTGAAGTTTTAATGGGTCAGAATTTTATTATTATTATTATTACTATTATTATTATTATTATCACAATTATTATTATTATTCGCATTATTATCATTACTTCTAGTATTATTACTACTATTAATATTAATATTAAGTGTTATTAGTATTAAAAATACCATTATTATCGTTATTGCATCAGAGGTATAGTATTATCATTTTTTCTTTTATAAAAAATGACTAGCAATTTTCATGTTACTTCTTTGGCATTTTCAAGTACAGAACGTTTTCATGTGGCTGTTTAATATTCATTAAGTTTTTTTGATAACGAGCTAAAGGCACAGTATGATCGTTTTTTATTACTGACTAGTGGCATCATTCATAATCATTTTTTGAAGTCTAGCAATTTTTGGATTACATTACAGGTTCTCCACCAATGATGTAACCTGGATAATATCTGTTTATGATGTTGAAGGCCAGTGTGTAGCTTTTTCATGCGCATGGCCAATGGTGACTAGGCTTTTCTTGCTTGATTCGGTCTTGATGGTGCTAACACAAGATGGGAATCTTACTGCATTGAAAGAAAAACATATCACGAAAAAACTGGAAACTTTATTTAAAAAGAACCTATACGATCTTGCAGTTGGGTAAGCTTCAGGAATAGTTTTTGAAATCTTCACTTTCTCCTGACAAGTTTCAATATTTTGTTAACTCTTTCAGGATCTGAAACATTATATTTGTTTCTTAATTTTTATATGTCTGTACGTGAATGTCAGTTTATTATTCGGATAAATGAATATATCAGTTTTAGTTTAGCGCGACGCAGTTTGGTCGGTATGGAATACTTGCCAGAAATACATCAGAAATATGGCGATTACTTGTATAAGTAAAGTCCTTCTAGATATTATTTTAGGCTCTGCTGTTGTTGTATTTAAATTTAGCCTTTCAAAATATGCCAGCTTTTAAAAACGTATTTCAGAAGCGGGGATTTTGAGAATGCAGTACAACAGTACAAAGAAACGATTGGTTTCCTTGAACCGTCATATGTGATTAAAAAGGTTTTTCACTTTTGTTTGCTTTATTTGAAAATTGTTTGTGAATTCAGTCATTTTAGACGTTTCTTCTTATTTTACTTTACCTGTGTTAGACTTCGCATTTTGATTTAACTATATGCTTGTTTTTTTGACCAAGGGGTTCTAAGTTTGTTTTTTTACATGCCATTTTACACTACGCTGAGTTTCTGCAACATTTTTAGTTTCTGGATGGTTCGCATATCAAAGAACTGAGTACATACTTGGAAAGTTTACACCTGAAAGGACGTGCTACGAAGAAGCATGCTACTATTTTATTGAACTGTTATATAAAAATTGATGCTAAGGAGAACATCAAGCGTTTTATAGAGCAGGATATGGGGTGCGATGTAGACGCTGCAGTTCAGGTTAGGATTTGAAAAACTTGATTTTTTTGAATGTTTTTGTAGAACATACGAAGTGCATTCACTTTACGAAACTTCTTTTGTTTTAAATTACTTTCCAAATTGTGTTAATGTTTTTTCCTTAGTGGTGTCAGTTTATATGGAGTGTTTGAACAGTTTTTGTTGGAAATGGCGTTCTAGAGAGGGGCCACGTAACTGCTGCTATGAGAATGATATAATAAGTTTGAGAACTAAGCTTTGGTACGAGCCGTAAGGAGCTCCTCATTTTTTTGCTTGTTCCACAAAGTATTTCGCTAAATTTAAGTGGAAACTTTGGCGTTAAGATGGGGTCGCTGTAATAGTGATAGAATTTATGAGCAGACTAATATAGCAGACTGATCGCTTATTCATTATTATTCCTTAAACCAGGTGATACTTTAAAGGTGAAGTTTTCTGGGGCGTTTTTATTTCGTCTTGTTACTGTAAGGGCTGGTAAAAGGATGTCTTGGAAGCAAGATAAATCGGGTTTTTTATGAAAAGGAGGTCTAAAATAGATGAGCATTACCGAAAAATGCTCCGAAAAACTTTTCGATTTTTTAGCGGAGGTCTTCAGAAAGTAAGGGTTGCTCTTTGTTACGACAAAACCTTGGAACGCGAAATAGAGATGATGTAAGATTTGTGCGTGGGGTATCTTTAATAATTTGTTGTTTATTTAATTTTTAATTTTTTTATTTATAGTTACTGAATATTTCTGTTTTCAAATTTGCAAGGATTAAGGAAGAAGTTTTTAGAGGAGGTTTTATCCGTTAGAGCTGCAGAAAAGCCAGCTTTTGAAGAAATATTAGTTCTAACACTTAGCTGGAGGTTTTAAGTGCGCTGTT